TAGGATTGAAACATACATATAATTGTACATATAATTGTATATATAATTGTATTGTGTAGAAGAATGAGGTTTATATAGAGGTTAAGGATGATGTATTAAGTTTTTGTATCACGAGAAACAAATTGTTAGGAATATTTACTCTGGAATGCCACGTATGTCCATTTTTGTTTTAATTGTATTATAAATAAAAAACTTTTATTAAAATAATAATAATAATGGCAACTGAGACTGCAGGGATTGCCATCACTAAGCAATGCAGAGTCTAGTTACACTTATTCTATGAGAAAATATTTGAAATTAGTTCAAGAACCACAAACTGACAAGTCCTGTTTGAGGTGCTTACTGTGTGGTTGTTGATCCTTACATCCTCCTCATACTTAGATCGAGCAACAGCCTTCTCTTGTCCTTTAATAACAGTTCCATGTCTAGAATACTCCACATAGTCTTCTGTCTGAGCAAGTAACAATTCTGATGGTGGGGCATCCAGATGTTCTTCCCCTCCATACTACAAGAAGAAAAAAAAAGAAGTCTGAAAGATTTATTTGCAGGATTCCCTCTCCCTGAAGATATTTGCCCATTCACCAGATTGGATAGGATGGAGAAGCTCCAGATTCCTTCCCTTAAATGCTGCTATCTAGCAGGTCCTAGGAAATGTGCCTCTTCCATAATGATCCCTGCCTTATGGAACAGCCTCCCCCCCCCCCCCAGGATCTGGTAGGCTCTCACCTTTTCAGTCTTTTGGATAACTGTAAAGTGTTGATTGGGTTGGAACAGGGTGAGGTTGCAGCCCCAGTATGACTTTTTTTTGGATACGCTGTGAAGCATGATTCAGGTGCCAGGTTTTGTCTTTATTGTTTTTGTTGCTTTTATTTTTAGTGTTATTGTGAACCACCCAGAGTTATGTTTTAAGTTGAGTAGCCATATACATTTTTCAAATGAAAAAAAAATTTTTTTGTAGCATTTTACAAGCTGCGTTTGCATTTATGCTTGTCTATAAGATTCCTATAAAGGAGACAGCACCGATAAAGGTAGGCCATGTGTTACGATGAATCATTTAGTGACTATTCAAAATTACAATGGACTCCCCCCAAAAGTCCTTACAACCATGATTCATAAGTTCAGACCCCCCCTCCCCTACAAATGGTCAACATGTTTAAAAAACTGCCTCAAAATCATCTGGGAATTTAAGGTACCTTACAAAAAAGCATCAAAAGCCAAGAATTACATAAGTTTATTCTGACTTTGAAGTTAGATATGTTTATAATTATGAAGATTTTAACTTTCTCTGGTGATATGTGAGAGTTCTCCCTCCCCCATTTTTAATTGATTTATTGTTTAGAACAGTGTTTCTCAACCTTGACAATTTTAAGGCACGTGGACTTCAACTCCCAGAATTCCACAGCCAGCATTAGAAACACTGGTTTAGAGTAATACTGATCTGGTAAAGTCTCCAATAATTTGACATCTAATTACTTTATAAAGTTTTAATTAATTTAGAAATGGGAAATGACGTCACAGTGTTGCAAACATTTTTTTCATCTACAATGGTAAATTTTTTTTAAAAAGGACATTCTGAAGGAGACTCTTAATTTACCTTCTCTAAGATGCTTTCTTTCTGCTGCTGTTTAAAGTCTTCTTTTTTCACCTTGAAGGATTTGTACAAGAGTTCAAGTTTTGTAGGATCTGCTTGAAGATGAACTTCAGAGCCTTTTTCATAGGCCTCCCAGGCGAACACTTTGAAATTAAAAGAAAGGAAAATATTTTCCGTTTTTCTGAAATACACGAATGTTGAACTATTAATTAATAGGCACTTAGAAAATATTGTGAAAACTCTCCATGAAGGAAATCCTAGAAAAGAAGATTCTTCCTCTGGGATGCTTCAAGAGACAAAGGGAGGAGAGAGTGTGTGGCGGATAAGTACTCATCATCCCCGCCACGTCCATTTCTGGACCAAGAATCTGAGAGAAGTAAAAGGGACTGGAGGACATTTCACTTCATACCACCCCATCCGTCCGTCTGTCCCTCCCTTGATGTCATAGGTTAATTCACTTCCAGCTCCAATCTGCTAAGAATTCATAAAGGTAAAGACAAAGGTAAAGTTATCCCCTGTCTAGTTGTATCATACTTATCTCTATTTCTTAGCTAAGGGAGCCAGAATTGTCTGAAGACATTTCTGTGGTCATGTGACCTGCACAGCTATACACCAAAGGCACACAGAACACTGTTACCTTCCCACCGAAGAGGTACTCATTAATCTGCACTTGCATGCTTTCGAACTGCTAGATGGGCAAAAATTGAGGCAAGCAACAGGACCTCCCCCCATTGTGAAGCATTTGGGTCTTGAACCCAGCCTGTTAGCTTTTCTAGCTGACAAGCGCAGCATCTTTAACCACTGAGCCATTGCACCCCCTAAGAATTCATGAAAGTGTACATTTTCTTTCTGTAGTCAGTGGCCTACAGTATAGGCCACCGTACTGTATTCTGTAGTCAGTATAAGGAAAGCATGCACGTACAGTCTGGAAAGGTATATGCACAGCACCTTTCAAAAAAAGCAATGGTTTTAATATCCTTTGGGAGATGGCACTGTCAGAGGACTTTGCCTGTAGTACTCCCCCTCCATCTTTGTTTGGGAAATATAGTAACAAATATGACATTCCTTGCAGTAGACTGGGCACCTATGAGGGAGATGGGCAGTTAAGAAATGTGATATATATTCTTCCTTAAAGAATCATCTTATCTGAAACAAATTTAACTTAAAAATAAGTGAGCAGCACTAAATGATTCACCTTAGATTTAGTACTTACACTGAGTTTGGGCCATGGAAATGGTGGCTCCCGTGTAACGAACAAAGTTATCTCCTGCATAACTGACTCTGTAAACAAAAATAGTTTATTCTGTAAGTATTTAGCTTGTGATTATATTTTGAACAAACAGAAGCAAAGCAAATACAAGGCCATTCTAATTAAAAAGTATAAATTTAATAGGACCCATTCTTTGTTCATTAATGTGATTCTGGGATTCATTATTGCTTCTCCTATTGCATTTTGATTACAGCAGCCAATCTTTTCAGTCTTAAAGTGTCATTTTAAATTACTTTGTTAGTAATTTAGATCAATGTGTTGACAGAGTAATTTGTAATTTATCTGTCATCAAAATGTATTATGAGAAACAAGCTCCAAATAAAATCTGAGTAAGAAAAAAAGATAATTCTTCTGCAGCAAAAAGTCCATTTCAACTACATACAAATACTTTTTCCTATATGGCATGGTTATTCACTGTGACTTAAAAGCTTTCTGAAGATAATTATAGTAATCTGAGACACTTGTTTTACAGCAGATGTTATATTGTGGGCAACTAATATTCATCTGTGTTCACTACCAACTCTCCTAGATTTTCCAAGATCTATGAGCATTCAGACAACCTGCTTTGAAGAAAAAGCACTACGACACACTTCTCTATATTTTTTAAAAAACTTTTTTCAAACTGAAGATCAACCAGGAGAGACCTTCCCATTTATCAATTCCAGGGCAGTATATAAGACTTTGTATTTGCTGAAGCAATTTGAAGTTAACTTACTCATCTGGATTCTTTCCTGCATTGGCATAAGGATTCTCCCTCATTGCTCTGGTTTTAGGATCATAGTAGGCAGAATTGGGGTCTAGATTTCGTAGGTACTAAAAGCAAGAACACAAAAATATCAACTTGAAATTCTAATATAGCTCATAACGCTATCACTTTAATATAGCTATTCTGAGATTATCATTACCCATGAAATCAGATAATCAATATTGTGAATTCAGCCCACCCAAAGTTAGGATGCATTACAGCTATCACCCATCACTATATCCGTTACCAGTCCTCTTTCATCCTTTTTAGGAAGGAATGCCATTCTGCAGAAAGGGAAGATAGCTGTAATTCTGTATCTTGGACTATTTTGATCATTTTACACAGTATACTGAACTATTTACACTATTATGTTGCATATGCTGAATTCACACAGTATCCTAAGCCATAGAGTGGCATACTTAGTTACGACCTGATGATACTACTGATGTGATAGGAAGATAAGCAGAAGAAAGGTAAGCCTTTTAGAATAATATGGAGAATATTAGCTTCAAAATGACAGTTCTTGATGTTGTCCAGCTTACTTTAGCGATATCCTCTCGAATACGCAGGTTTCGGACTGTAATGCGTCTTTTGGAGTCAAAATTCTGTCCAGGCATATCAATGTCATCTGCATATTTGTCTTCGTCTTCATCTTCACTGTTATGATCTCTTTCCTAAAAAGAGACAGTGTGGCATTAAGTAACTGGTGTGATTTATTTTGCATCAGTGACAAAATACATATACTGAATTTTAGATGAAATGTTTTAAAAAATAGTACTATCAATACAATTTTATTAGTGATTGATTGAATTAGTTGGCTAAGTACTTTGTAAATAAAAAAAACATATAATGCTTGAGGTTGTTAGGTATTTAAATTCTGCTTTGAGCCAAAGTTTCATTATATTGCTTGCCTGAAAAACTGCAGCTGCAATGAGAGATGAATCTATATATCTCCATATAAGAAGGCAAAAGGATAAAGGCTACTTAAAAATCAAGGAATGCTACAGAGAACTTAAAATTCTTTATGTGAAAGACCTACTTACAATAAAAGTGTACATTTTGTTACTTTAAAAAAAAAAACCCGCTCTCACCGTTTGTGAATTTGGTTCGTCGTCTCCCCATCGATGTCGTGGGGAATTCTGGAGCAAACAAACAAAAAAAACCTCTCAGAACCAGCACAATCACAGAACTACATAGTGAAGTTCTCAGAAGAAATGATAAATTGTTTGAGAAAAGGCAAAGCTGTATTCTAAAAAGAAAGGCCTCCACTGAAACTCTCAAGCTAGACCAAGGTGGATTATTAGCTTCAAGCCATTTTATTTATCTAAGACTCTCTCCTCAAAATAGCTTGACAGATCATTCTTTCATGCTTTGTTACGTCACAAAATAAATAACTAGAATATTTCTTAAATACCATACTCACTCTTAAAATCAAGAATGAAAACATACTTTTAAAATAATACTTTTTAAAAAACATACTTTTAAAATAATATAGAATACTGTCAGTTATATAAATTGGCATGTAGTTTAGATTTTAAAAGTAGTTGTTAAAAGGAGATAGGGGATCAAATTGGTCGTAGCGCGTATGATGGCATCCTTGTATTGGTTATATTGTATACCAAGTATACAATAGGACTTAACTATTACCAAATAGTTCATGCTCATATAGAGAGAAGAGAGTTCATTCTGTATGCAATTTTAATTTCTGACATTTCCAGTTCAAAAGATCAAGTAGCCAATGATGCAAAACGCTCCTGCCTAGATTTGGGGAGCTGCTGCAAACCAGAATAAGAAATGTTTAGCTAGCTGAATAAATAAATAGGTTCCCAAGCAAAGGAAAACAAATTCTAAATAATGAAAATATCTTTTCATCCTGAAATAGCTCTGGTTCCTCCAATTCAGAAGAATTATATAGAGTTTACTGCCATCTAGTGAAGCAATTAAGAATTTACTGCAAAATGAAAGAAGTCCATACATTCCTTTAACTTAGTTAACAGGAAAAAACATGACCTTACATAGATTTTAGCCATATTCAGGGCTTTGGGGTCAACAACATCCAATACTAGCTAGAAAAAATTATTTAAAAAACAGGAAAACAGTGCTTTACCCTTCTGATTTAGATGTTTTTTCCCCTGACTTACCACTTGCTCTGTTAGTTTTCCTGAAGCCAGTTCTTCCTGTAGTTTCTGAGCTTTGAGTGTGCGTTTAGCCTATACATTAAAGAAAAAACAGGGTACTTCTCTTAAAAGATTTCCTAACTACTCCATACTTACGATGAAAGAATGTTCTTCTTAATTTTGATGAGCAAGCCATTATGATTTAGAATCAATAATACAGAAATGTAAGCAATTTACAGACAGAAAATTTACTTCAGTATAAGTCAACTGTTACTAGTTTGCTTAACTCTGTCTGAAATCGGTTTCTCCATTTCTTCAATGACTTTCTCGAAACTTGAGAATGTTTAGCCTCTTTGGTGTCTTAATTCAGAGGCAGTCAATGAAAAAATATCAATGGAATCAAAAGTAAAGGCAACCAAAGATTGAGCACGGTGTGTAGGAGGATGCACCTTCCTCTTGCTTCCATTTTTTAGTAATGTAAATACTTTGTGGTTAAAGTTTGAGGAAGGGGGGAACCTTAATTATTAGAAAAGGATGCTGCTTGGTGAAAGAGTTTGCATGCAAACATTAATAGGTACAGTATATTCCCAGGTCTCCAGGCATGGAAGAGGAAATTGTCTGAACACTTGGAAAATTAAAATAAATGAATCAATAATAGCTCTGACATTATTTTATAAACATGTCTACATATTTATATTAGCACAAAAGTCAATTCTGGATGTTATTTATTTTTATACCAACATGACACAATCACACAAAGATACTGTTGATGTTATATTCAGAGAGAGAAAAAAATCCACTTACTAGATCAACCTTGGCATATTCTTCTACAATCTTCATATGCTCTTCTGGGTTATAACCATTCCAACGGTCTCTTTTCCCATCATAATCAAACATCAATTGAGGCTGCATGTGCTCATCTGGTGCAATGTTCGTTCCTGTAAATTTTGCTCCAACTTTTCTAGGTCTCTGAAGGGAACAATATGCAATGCAATCTTTGCTTCTCAGAAAGAAAACGGCCTACAATTATTCCTGTTTCTTAGCAGATATTAGGGAAACAGCCCCTCCATCACCACATAGCACTGATGTTTCTTCTACCTTTTCCTTCCTGCAGACTCTTTCCTGGTGGCATTAAGTTTTTTTTACAGGTGTAATGCAGCTACTGTATTCATCTGACTGAACTACAGTTCCATTGTTAACACTGAAACCAAGGACCATGTGGGACAAATGAAAATATCTCCTTACAAAAAAGTAACTGCTTTGATTCCTTTTAAATGAAAAACACTACTAAAATGTTGTAAATAAAGAAATAAACAGGAACTTCAAAGATCTAAAATTTGGAATACTAAACTAAAATGCTACTGGCCCATCTATTGGGGCCTGGACCCCTATATCCCATAGTAACCTCACTGCAATAATTGCATAAGAATATGCCTTATTCTCTGTCATGTGGTGGAAGCCATCCTGATTCTTTGCGAGTGAAAAATATGGGAAAGCCAGTTTAACAATTGCAAATAGCCCTGATTTAGCTACATTTAACAGCATACTTCATTATCTTGCTACTTTACCAAATTCAGTTGCCTTTTTCAAAACTGGTCCCTGTTTGTCATCTGATTAACCTCTTCCTAATATAGGCAGTCCTTGCTTAATGACGATTTGTTCAGCGACCATTCAAAATTATAGCAGCATTGAACAAATGGGATTTATGCCCAGTCCATAAAGTTATACCTCTTGTGTCTCCACAGTCACAAGATCAAAATTTAAGCATTTGGCAGTCTACTTACAACCACAAGGACACTTCAATTTCACCCACCTGCCTATCTCCCTAACATCTCTGTTCCTTCTGCTACTCTGTGCAGCAGCATTCCTCGGCAGCAGTCCTGGGGCTGAAGTAGAGGCCTGGAGCCTTTAGAAGTCTCCGCTGACTGCTGTCCCCAAGCCTCTACTTCAGGCCTGGTGCTGCTTCTTCTGCAAAGCCCCTGCCACTTCCAGCTGGCCTTCCCCACCTTTTCCCTTCTACTACTGATGAGGCACACCTCAGGTAGAGGCAGCTCAGGTTTCAAAAGGCAAGCCTGAGCTGCCTTTGCCCATGTGGAGAACATACAATGAAGAGTTAAGAGGTAAAAAGAAGGAGGGGGAATGCCTTGTTCTGCTGAGAATTACAGCAGCTCGTTTCAAAATGCACGGGCTGAGGATGGAAAAAGGAAAAAGATGTCACTGTAATTCTCCCATGTGGCCCAGCAAGAGAGGCTCACTCTCTTTTCCCCCCCCTACCTTCTGAGCTCTGTAGATCTTCACAAGGTAAGCAAACATTGTGAGGGCCGGAGGAGGACCCTGTGGAATTCCCCAATGTTTTTGGGGACCTAGCAGGATGTGGTGGGGAAATAGATAGGAAGGCATGCTGCATCTCTGTGGTTGGTCAAAAAGGCAAATGACTGGATGAGTTCTGTAGAATTTGTAACTTTGAAACAGAAGGGTCTGTTGTAACTCTGAATGGTCATTAAATGAACTGTCGTACCTTGAGGATTACCTGTATATACAGTTAAATGTTCTCTAAAAACACAACATAACATCGATCTCGCATCTAAAAACATACTTTCATTTTGAAAAAAAGTGAAAGACAGCAAAACAAGAAGAAAGTTATTATGGAGTATGGAACTTCTGTTCTTATGTTCCATGAAATTGCCTCTTCCAATTTCAATTCTATTAGATACTAATTTCTAAAATACATACAGACTATAAAATTTTACCCGACAGATAAGAGTCATGTTGCTTTAAGGAATATTATTTACCTCTAGGCAATCTTTCTTCTTATGGGTCAATGCACCACAGTTCTCACAAGCACCTTTACGGTATTTGGTTGAGACAGCATTCTAAAGACAAAACAAATAAGTTATTTGCAGCAATAGAGTATTTAGTTTATCCTCTCCTATACAAGAATATAGAATATGGTAGGTCCACTCTAACTTTACAAAGAAATTACCTAGCTATATAAATTACTCTAAAATGGTAATTGCAGGGAATTTTAGCCAGACACAACTAATGAACTATGCCCCTTCACATTTGAATGTAAGAAAATGTAACATACCACCACTGAATTTGACCATTCAAATGCCAGTCATAATTAAAAAAGCCCAACAAATTGGCTAGCACTTATTAATAGTCTTGTACAACAGCATCACTTTTACATATAACTACTTACCTCTTTAACTCCTCGCTTATACCATTCTCCTAGTGATGTAAATTCTTCTTGTTTCTCTTCTTGAGGTCTCTGATGTTTCAATGTAGGCCTTTTTGAAGGATCTATATACCATGGCACTGAGGAAATGTACTGGGGAATATGAGGATTGATGTCTCTGTAATAAGTAGTGTTACAATTAGATGAAAGGTTAGGCTCCAGTCATTAAGTAGGAATCGCTAAACGCGGCACTTATTTTCCAATATTTTTTCTTAAATTCAGGAACCATTTCCATCATACCATACTTTTAAGATCTCAACTGGAACTTTATCTGTGTAATATGGGGAACGGAGGAAGGTTTTCACAGTGAGATGCCCATGTGGCTTAACAATATACCTCATACATAATAAAATATCTTCACCTACATTGTCACAAGCTTTCTGTACATGGATTTGGTCTCTGATTGGTTTTCCTGCCAAAGAAGCCAAAGGAGCATTCTGGCCAAGACTAAGATCTTCTGTCAGCACCAAAATGTTGTCTTATTATTAGGTTAGGACTAAGACTCCTCCCACTTAAATCAATGGGGTCTCAGTCCTAACCTAATAGAATCAGAAGTATCTACAATACACTTTTGAGTTCCAAGATTTTTAAAATTCTGAACTAGAGAACGTATTGCAGTCTCTTTTGATTCTAGCCATATTAGATTTGACATTCCAAAATTTAAATACTCCCAATTGCCTACCCTAGGCTAGAAAAGGCAGCATAGATCAAAGATAGAAAGAAATCAATTAACTTTGTTCACTTCATTACTTAGATCAATATCTATTAATATAAAAAGAATAAACAAATTCTTTCAGAAGCAGCCTCACACTTAGTTTTGTCATAACATGCTAAAAAAGCTAAAGAAAGTTGTATTGAGATTGCAAACAATACTTACTTTCCTTCTTCATCCACTTCAGCAGGTGCATTTCCCAGTTTTCGTTGTTCTTCCAATTCCTTCTTCTTTCTCCAATCTTCTCTCGTCATCTTCTTGGGTTCTTCCAAGCCATTTGATCCTCCAGGAGGAGTAGCAGCAGCTATAGTTTCCATGCTCCCAGATTCTGTTCTTCAGCCTATTAATAAACACATGTTTATATTTGTTAATAGGTTTTCAAACTATTTTAATAAATGCTAAAAAAGTCCTCACCATTTTTGATTAATCTAGCCTGAAAAGCAAATTCCCTCCCAAGGGTACCAAGATACGGATGGACGATATGGAAGACCATTTTTTTTTCCTTTGAGAGCAATCCCTGGATTAAGAACCAGCCTAAACTGAGCTTTCATGCTATTTTTAGTTGTGAGAGCTAGCGCATCACTCAAATACTTCTGAAGTGTTTTCTTATTATACCTTTATACCAATTGTATGAGTTCAGGCAAGACTTTTAGTTTATGATTTATGACACTTTATTGCCATTTTTATTATTTAAAAATATCTTGCATTTTTCTTTGTAATTTAGCTGCCTTTTGTAGATATTACAAACCTTTTTTACAAGCATACATATAATAGGAATATGAGCTAATTTAGTGATATGGAGTTTGGCATCATTAGTACAGGCATTCTCAACTTATGACAGATCACGAAAATGGAACTTATAGCCCAGATTCAAAGTTCTGATGTCTGTAACCCCCATGTACAGTCACATGACCACACTTTGGGCATTAGCAACCAGTTTGCATTTATGGCTGTTTGCAGCAACCTGCAATCACGTGACTTACAACAGTTCTGCCAGAAACTGGTGTTTATTCATTTCTGGCAAAACCCATACTATAGCAATCAATGGGTTAACTTAATGACCATGGTGTTTGTTTTACAATTGCTGCAAAACAGGCATAAAATTAGTTATGGGCATGTTGTGACCTGCTTTATGATCATCACAACTTACATTCAAAATTGTGGGCTCAATTGCAAGTCAAGGACTATCTGTATGCTGATATTATCCAATCATACATCTCTACCCATGCAGGGCAGGTGATACTGTTCAGGAGTTTGGTCAGCACTGGGAGGCTCTATGGACTGGGCATGGTTGGGGAGAAATTGGCTGTGAGTAACTCTACCAAGACAAAATGGTTGTGGATCATTATCCCTCTGTTGTTTGGACAGGTTAACCCCTGCCCCAGACAGAATTATTGTGCAATTTGGGGATTCTTCACTGCAACTGGTCCAGAATGAGTGTCTTGTGCTTCCCTCAAGTTATAGTGCGACTGTTGCAGTGTGAACTGTACTGGCTTCCAGTTGCTTCATAGGTGCTGCTTATCACCTTTAAAGAAATACATGGCAAAGGGAAGTTACTTATGGGACTGCCTCTCTCTCTCTCTCTTTCTGAGGGTATCTGCCATCCCATTATCTGACCTGGGTTAGTTCCAGTTCCCTTTTCTTAAAGGCTGTCATATGTTGGGGCTTTGGAGATGCACCTTCTCTATAGCTGGTCCAGACCTTTGGAAGGCTTTTAGCCTTCTGGAAGATTATGAAGACCTGGCTCTTACCCCAAATACCGGGCTTGGATGAGGGTTGAGTCAGGAAGTTAATAGGGTGGTTGATCTGGCATCTGATGGGAAGGGTTTTCTATTGTTACTCTGGTTTTTATTGGTTGTTGTGAACAGTCTAGGATCTGTATGCGAGACAGACAGACAGACATATAAAATCCAAAATATATTCGCACATACGGTGTAAAATATAATCGAAAGCATTCCCAGCCACCTTCCCGAAACTCCAATTAGATGGGGCAGACGCCCCCTTAGGCGGCTCAAAAATATTTTGGGCTCTTAACACCCATCAGCCCCAGTTGACCTTCCCAACAACACCAGGAGTATGAAACCTACATAACCCAAGCTCCTGGCCAGCCTGAGTTCCCTTGAGCTTTATACAGCAGCGGGCAGAAGAAGAGGCAATAACTGGAAGTGGCTCCTCTGCTTTACGAAACTTAAGAGTTCTGAACTGCCCAGATCTCGCTAACGAAGAGATCCAGAATTTAACTACCTGCCGAACAACTTAACCTGGGTTAAGTGCCTCGTGTAAATACACACCGGTTGCAGGTTTCACCCGGGAAAAGCAAACGAGCCCCGATAAGTCTCTCCGACCCAAACAAGAGCAGTCGCCACTTACTCGTCACAGATCAGACTTCCTGCGCCACCGGGCCTACGACGCTCATTGGAGCCCCACTTCCGGTGTTTTTCCGCTTCCCACAAGGCAGAGCGGCGGCCTTCTCGTCATTCCTTAAAGGGGCCGCGTCCTATTTTAAAAAGGATCCGCTTTCTCCAACGACGTTCCATTCCCGGACTTTGGCTTTCAGTAACCCTCTTTTGCGGACGTAAGTTTAAAGCTCTTCGAAGACGGCCTTTCAAAAGTCGGAGTTTATTCCCAAATGAATGTGTACATTTATAAAGCCATGAGGATCTGAAACTCAAGACTTGGTGTAAATGCATTTTCTTTAATACAAGCCGCTACTAGAATCTGACGTTGCTGCGATAGGATCTGTTATTTATTACGGCAGAAGTTTCCATGGATCTTTGCCTTGTTTTTTTTTTTTAAAAAAAAAAAAAATCTGAGAAAGTGAAACGTGTAATTTACAAAAGTTTTTATTTCTTCATGGAGAAACCCTAGCTATGTAGTCGCTAGACACGATGACTTGATGGCACGTAATCATAACGTATCACTAATGTAATCAATCATTACAGGGGCAGCATACCGTTATTTTGGCAACGATTTAAAAGTGGGTTGTATTGCCTTCCTCCGGGACTTTCTCGACCAGTGTAGCCGACAGTCGTGGTATCCCTGGGGTGGCAGTCTCCCATCCAAGTCTTAGCCACGACCAACCCTGCTTGCCTTCCCAACCCAGGTAAAATGAATCAGACGCTACTAGCTAAACTTACTTGGTCGTAATTCCCCGAGAGTTTCATGGGACTTTGGTCTGATTTAGACGTTCACAGCATCACAGTAAAACACCACGATTCCATGCTGATTGTTGCGATAGACTAAAACAGCCATCCCTCTGAAATATATATTTTTAATTAGATTATCCTGGAGCTTGAAGTTCCCTTTTTCCCCCACCACAATTTGAACATTATGGGATCAAGTCGGTAACGCTTTCGTATTTCACAAGTCGACACCACGCGTCCTTGGCTTAAATATCCCGCCTTGCCTGCAAATGAGATTGAAGGCAAAGAAGTGTAACCTCTACCTCTCCCCCGCCAGCATTAGTTTAGAAAGGGAGCCAATCAGGAGTTTTAACATCTCAACACGAGGAGCAACAGCCAATCAGGAACGACGTTAATGATTTAAAACAATCCGGTAGAGAAAGACCAGTTGTAGATTTTGCACAAAGTGTTTGGCGAGGTAATGAATCAATAAGGGGGGTGTGTGTGTGTGATAGATTTAGAACATCTTTTCCATGACAGCTAGTTTAATTTTAGTTTCTATTTGTTCCTACTGTATTACGTTTTAAAGGCTAGCTCTGTTGCAATATTATAATTGCAAGCAGTAACTTAGGGAGAAGCGGGATGGTCGGTATTTCAATTCTATTCTTTTGTCATAGTTGCTTAAACTAGAATTTTTTTAAAGTATATGCTTTCTATGGACTTGCACTGCTTAGGTGCAGTGCACCTAAGTGCAGTGTACTGCAGTGCTATTTTTCTGCTTGATAGCCTTCTAAAACTAATTTTGGAAGAAGCTCTATTAATGAATATAGAAATGCCGGGGCTACTAGTATTACATTGAAATAATTGAAAAATAAAGGCTTCAGTTCTGTTTACAGGTAGCAGAGAGCAAGATATGCTGACTTCTGTAGTGCGTGCACATCACCAATTCATATGGAATAATATTTTTGTTACAGAACTAACAAAAGTGCTGGTTTAGAACTTCATGAGGCACAGTATTCCAAAATAGGGGAGAATTCTTTTTTATTAAAAGGCTAATTGTATAACTACAAAGTGTTTAATTCAAAGTAAATCCTTGAATACTAGATGTTGGGAAGATTATGAATTGAGACAGTTTGGAGATCAAATGAATGGCTATACTACACTGTATTTAGTCTGACCTATGTATTTTGAATCTTACTTTCTCAACTGTAACTCCTAATTTGGTGTAAATAAATCTCGTTTTATTGAGCTTGACACCTACTTTATCAAAATGTTTATGGAACCAAAATGAAAGTGGATTGTAACTGCCCACTAGTGGGATCTCAGTCTATGTAACCATACTGATAGTTCTTAACTTAGTGTAAACTAGGTCTGATTTTTCTTTGTTTTGAGCCCAAAGTAGCTAAGGCCATTTGCTGAGGCATAATTATCCACAGATATTCTTAGTGACCAAATTATTGTCTAGCCCTGTTGAAATTAAGACAATACAATTTATTTACTTGTTTCCACTGTCAAATCAAGGAATTATATATATTGCATGTAATAAATGGCAGACTATGTTTTCCAAATTGGGAAGAAGCAATTATAAAGTCACATTTTCAAATTGTTTAAGTGAAAAACATTTCCTGTAAGAAGAAGAGATGAATCTTGTATGGAATTTGTAGTCTTTCCACCTGAATCAACTTAAGACAGTCTGAACTAGGATAACTCGTAGTTCTGAAAGATTCTGAGCTTAGAAGCTGCTATTCTAGCTATGTAATATTCTAAGAGAAAAGTACATTTTCAGTCTTGTATTGATGTGAGAGGTTTAGAGAATAAACTTAGATGTGCTATAATTTTGTGGGTATCTGTTTTAGGGATCATTTGATGCCATAGGAATGGCAACACATATCTTCATAGACAAAGAGAATGGAGAAAATAGCACCGCTACTGCTCCTAAGGACCGACTAAAACAGCTATTGGGACCTCGTGAGTTTGCATTTATGTAATACAACTAATATAAATGAGCAAAAAAAATCTTTCTCTAAATTCTAAAAAGATTTAGCATATTAAATGTTTTGGATGCTGTCTAATCAGAATGCTTTGTTATTTTAAGAGGATGGAAGATGAAGAGCTACCTAAATATGATATCATTTGTGGCTGTTGTGTAATGGACAGCACTGAGAAAAAGCCAGCTTGAGATTTTAGGTGTAACTTGGTGACTTGTGAAAAATTAAAAGCGGCTATCTTTTTGCTTTGTAGAAAGGGCCACTGTTTGGACTCTGCCTTGTATGGAAGGAGCTGAGCAAAACTGCAGGATATTGTCTTAGTCGCCAGACAAGCAACTTTTATTGAAATTATCTAAAGGTCATAAAGGGCAATGTGGTTGTACTAATTCCTCCCTAGCCAGTTGTATGATTTTAGTGCATTTGGGGATGCTAAACCTATATTAGAGAAAACCTACTTTAATAAAAAAAAAAGTTGGAATATAGGATCTAAATTGCATTGTGTAACAGGAACTTCCCTCTCTACAGCAAAAGTTTTTGTTGAAAGGTCTCATCCTAAAACCCCTCTTGTTGGAAGAACAGCTAATGTGAATCTAAAAGAATCTCAATCAGTCAGGAAGGCTCTGGGAAGTCTGAACAGACCTCTAGCAACAACAAAGAATCAGTTCCCTAAAGGAAAAAAGCTCTTATCAAAAAAGGTTAGTAAAATTAGTAAAGCTAATTTTTTATTGGATGCCATTGAGATGCTCAGACAGAAGAAACTAACAGTATTCGTGTCAAACAACTTAGAGTAATTTTAAACCAAAGAATGAATAGAAAGCTTGAATCACAATTTATAGAAGTTGAACATAAAGCTTTAGAGGTGTCTCCCAGTCTGCCATGTATAACATTTAAACAGCTACAAAAAAAGAAATAACATCTTGGAAGCTGATGGACAGCCAGAAAAGCAATACAATTGCACTTCTATGCCATTTCATTGGAAGGAAAATGAAATTGATATCTATAAGATTAATTTGGGGTGGGGGGTGGGAAAATGGAAGGAAAGATAAAACAAATAGACCAGGACAAGGGTGATATTTGAGACTAAACAGAGGAGAAGGGCTTTAGTAACCTGGATTGTGTGAAGGGAAGCACAAACCATGAGCTGGTCAGAGAAGTTGCTTGCCCTACAATTCAAGAAGATGGATTAAGCCTAACAAAAGTTATAGTATGCATATACACGGAGAAGGAAAACAGAGGTCCCTGTGTAGGTAGTTTCCAAAGTAACTATAATTTAGAGTCCCAACAAATCAGGATGGTATTATGGGACTTCCAAGGAAATATTCCAAGTAATAAAGATATAAAGATTACTGCAATGTTCAGATTACTTTACCATTGCTGGTGCATTCTTCTAATGCTGAAAGAACTAATTTTTCTCTGAACAGCAAGGTTTTGTTTTGATGCAAAGTCTTCAGATCAGGCTAGATGCCTGATGACTATTTAGGAACATCCATATAGTTTTATTCTTAACAAAATAGAAATCGTTTGGTATTTTGTTATTGATGTTTTGTTTCTTATCCGTGTTCTAACCAGCTCTTCCCCTCTTAACTTTTGGATATTAACCAAAGTTTTCTAGGTGTCTTGTTTTATACATCTTAAGTTCAGGAACTGAGGGCCAGAATGCTTTCTTTTTCACATCATCATTTGGGAATTAACTATTACTAACAAACATGTCCTGCACCGGATCTCTTAAAATATCATTAAATTTATGTTCACTCTTCTGCCTTCCCT